TACGGTGACGTTGCTAAAGGCCTTCTAGAAGGCCCTGGCAACGTCTGGCATCACCAACCTAAAATCTGATTGGTTGAAGGAACAGCGTACTCGACATGTATTTTCTGTGGGGGGGGGCCTGCAGAACGGATTGTGAAGGCCTCCTGGCAGACATCTTTGACTTTGACTCTGCCTAGCGACAAATGATGTCTGAAATGTGATTGGTTAAATGCTCTTATATGAAAACACATGTCTGGAAAAGCTATGAAAGGAAGTGGACAGATTTAGAGATATTTAATAAGTTTCCATGGATAAAATATAATTATCATCAGTCTGTTATTCAGATATTTTCTTAGGCCTGCAGAGAAGGCCTTGGAGGCCCTGACGGCCCACCACTGTGGCTAGCTGTATGCTACATGCTAGCATAAAGGCTCAGCTCAGGATTGACTGGAATAATAAATAATAGTAGATGAAGAGCTGTTGATTGCTAATGCAGATGTAGTTTTCTGTTTTTGTAAACACCTGTATGGCCTTTCACACGTTTGAAATAATATAAACAACATCTATCAAACTTTTGACTGCCTTTTTAAATATACACAGTACTTGTACAAAGAAACTGAGTACTTCGGTACTTCCATTTAAGTCTGGTGTTGAAAGAATACTTCTACTTTTACTCAAGTCAATTTTTTTATATAGTACTTGTACTATTACTCCAGTACTTTATACATCTCTGGTATTAATTAAACTTCACAATAACACCAGAACAACGTAGATTTGGTCAGCTGGCATGAACCTGTGTTGATTAGGCCTCAAAATAAGTAATTTAAAATCCAAATACACGTAGCAGTAAAATTTAAAAAGGTCAAAATTATTTCCCAAAATATTCATAAGATATTTATAAATGTGGAAAGTATTTTTAATACATTTTCTAAAAATGTCCCTCTCGCATTTTAGAACAGATTTTAAGATGTTATTGTTTGTTTTTAAAGCTTCGAATGGTCTCTCCCCGGAGTATTTGTATAAATTTGAACTTATTATTAATTTTACATTATAGATTTTAGATTATCAATTTTATTGACAATATTATTAGATTGAATTATATAAACTTTGTTCCACTGTCGTAATTCTTTTGAGGTCAGACTGATAAAGGCGTCTCCAGTTTGATTTGATTAGTTTATTTTGTAGCTGTGTGGCTTTCTGAGGTCGATTCGACACGTAAATTATTTGTTTGATGGCAAAAGTGAACTCACGAAGCAGCACATCTGCTTGATGAATGCAGAAACTGCTTTCATGGACTTCCTGAACATGCAAATAGTTTATAAACTACATGTATAATTTTCCCTCTGCAGAGGTGAAAGCAGCACGGTGTCTGTAAACCAGACTTTCAGGTTCATGTCAGCCTTTAAGATACATTTTCTTTATTTATTTCTTCTGTAATCCATCGATTTTGCTGCTTTTTATCCCAGGTTTCTGTCAGCCCAATTCTTTCGTTGGAAACCTGAGAATAAACCAGAGTGGATCAAGAGTAAAAAAATAGATTTATTGGGTCACAGTTAAGTGTTTCAGCTGGGCTCTAACAGACAAAAACCTCTCTCTGGGTCTCAGTGGGCAAAGAGCCCTGAGATCTGGGTGATGGGCATTATCTCCTGGGCTCCATCCGCCTCCTCAAAGGAGGACTGGACACAACCAAGTCCTATTGGCCAGTTACCTCTGGGCAGGAACAGGCCAGGTCCTAATTCATGCAGAGGACAGGAATGTGCTAACAAATGGAAAAGAGAGAAAAGAGAGTCTGTGGACACAGCCAGAGACTTCAACACAAAAGTATAGTTCTAAAAAGAATAAGACAATCAGTAATCTACATAGGTCATGTGATAGCATACAATGCTAAAGTGAGTAATTATAGCCAGATGCTAACATACACCAGGGAGCTGAAACTCCTGATACAAGAAATTCTCACACGAGCGAAAAATCGTGTCAAAAAGGGGCAGAAATGGGGCCAAAAACCCGGGTTCGGCGTATTGGCTAGTTAGCTCTGGGCACGAACAGGCCAGGTCCTAATTCATGCAGATGACAGGAATGTGCTAACAAA